TTTTCTGCATCAACGAAATCCATAAAGTCAGTCCTATCACGCCTCGGTCAGTCCTGTCACACAGGACATTATGTTATAAAAATGTAATATTTGAGGAAATATTGATGAATTAATCTCTGTAACTGTGTAGATGAAGGTTGGAGTATATATCCACTACTATGTTTTTGAAAAAATCTCCTATGTAAAGGCAGTTTTTTTACAACTATATGAGTGCCTGGCAGGGTATTCTGTGATTTTGTGTACTACAGTTGACCGAAAAGTTGCTTATATTCCTTATAGAAATTACAAAACCATGTTAGATACAATCAGGGACATGTGACCAATAAGAAAATGCTATTTGTATCAAAGAAATTCATTAGGAAACCATTCTAACATATACAAATTTGTCTGTGACAGGGCCTGACATTTTAGGGGTGAAATGCGTATAAAAATGTATTTATTTCAATCATAAAAACATGCTGAGATGGCACGATATGTGTTTCATATAGATTAACATGTCCTCCATATGACTCAACGTTCAGATTTAAGAATAAGATATTTTTTTCACCCAAGATTTTTACAAGTGGAAATGTACGTTTCTGGTAGAATGTCCCTTAAACACTGGAGAATATATGCTATTGTGTGCAGCTACAGATATAGATTATATAGATGAACCCTGCTGTTACTCCTACTCTGTGTTTGTGGTCAAACTGACCCGCATTGGTTTCCATGCAACTTGCCAAAAATCGACACTATGAAAAACACTGAAGACTCACGTAAAAATAAAAACTTTGAGTCATGTATTTTATATTTTAGTGTTTGACAAGCTACAATAAAGTTTTTCTGTTTTTTATCTGATTCTTTAGTGTGTGTTTTGTTTTGTTTTTATTTTTGGCAAATTGCTTGAAAACCAATGAGTCTATTTGACCCCAAAACCAACGCTGTAACAAAATTTGTACAGCCTTTCCAAAATACATCTATGTGTCAGAACTTTGCATGTACATTCATGACCCTAAATAAAAAATATACACCAAATTTCAAGAAGAAATAACCAGTTTAACTGGTATTTCAAGCTATTAAAAAATCAATTGTGGGTCAATTTGACCTGCAACACAAAAGTCATAACAAAACGTGTACCGCCTTTCCAAAACACATTTATGTGTCGACACTTTGCATGAACATTCATGACCCTAAATGAGAAGTTGTCACCACATTTTAAGACTAAATAAAAAGTTTAAACAGTATTTCAAGCAAATCAAATGCGAGTCAAACGTGTGTGGTGCTGAGATGACCAGAAGATGGCGCTCTCAAACACAAAACAGCTCTGTTTGGTGGATCTAGTTGGACACACAAGGCTTCATGCTCTTACACCAACATGCACTTGAAATTTCTGTCTTATCAAGAAGGCTTCAAGAAAATGAGAGACAGGAGGCTCAGTGCAGACAGACGAGTGTTTCTGCAGTCATCTGTGAGCGTCTCCTGGGGTTTGTGTGACGGATTTAATTCAGCACAATCAGCACAAACGCTCTGCCAGAGAGTGATGTCAATGCAGGTGAAAGCATGTCAGCTACCTCTGCTGCACATCTGCTAATGCATTTCTCTACAGTAAACAACAAATGTGTTCTGAGAACGTTTGGCTAACGTTCACATTTAGTTATGAACTCTATATCTCTGAATGTTCTCTGAATGTTCAAAACATGTTGTTTTTTTAAATGTTTGTTTAAAACTAAAAACATTCGATTAGTGCTGTCAAACGATTAATCGCGATTAATCGCATCCAAAATAAAAGTTTTTGTTTACATAATATATGAGTGTGTACTGTGTATATTTATTATGTATATATAAATACACACACATGCATGTATATATTTAAGAGAAATATGTTATGTTTATATATTTATAGTAATATAAACGCATATAGTATATACATGTAAATATTTTCAAAATATATAGGCTACTGTATGTGTGTGTATTTATATATACATAATAAATAAACACAGTACACATACATATATTATGTTTTGTGCTAACGTTTTAAGAACGTTATTAAAGACCAGACAACTTTGAATGAACGTTCTATTAATGTTACTGGAAGAACGTTTTTTTGTAACTTTAAAGGTCCTTGCACACTGAATCCGATATTTTCGTATGCATATTTTCGTATTCGTCATCCTAAAAATTCGTCACGCACAGAAACCTTGCACACTGAGTCCGATGTGTATTAATGGATCCGTTGCAAACATATTCGCAAAACAATACAAAATGGAGTCTTCAAGCAGTTTGGATGACTTTGTTGTTAAAGAAAGAGGAAATATTGGATCCATCCAATCCTGAGATCGCGTAGAGAGGAAAGAGAGTTCCACCTCCTTATTAAGGAGCAGCGGGATTATCACATGCGATACAAAGTTTACTTCAGGATGTCAGTGGCTCGGTTTGATGCTTTGCTAGCGATACTAGAGCCACATATTAAAAAGAAGACCACCAGTTTCTGTGAACTCAGCGTGCAAGAATCTTAACAGTGCTTTGTGCTACGAGACGAAGTGGATCAACTCGATAATCGCCATTCTGGATTTTGGCGTTCGCTTGTACGGTGGCTCTGAATTGTCAAAACACCTCTCAAAATGCTTGCTACGGACGCTAAAAATACAGAAAATCGAACCCGATCCAAATTTTTTAATGACGGACGAAAGTTTCAGAGGCAGTGTGTAAATGTGATTGACACAACGTGAGGTCGTATTTATTTTTTAACATGCAGGAATTTCGGACAAAAATTTCAGACTCGGTGTGCAAAGACCTTAAGAGCACCTTGCCAGAACGTCCCAAGAACATCCCGTTTGCTGGGTTGGTTCTATTCTAAGATCCAGTCTGCCAGAATCAATGCAGTGGCTTCTGCAGTGGATTTGGAGATGTTTTGCAGAGAACTTTCTAAACGAGCTCTCCAAAACCAAACCAACTGCCTGCAGGTTTGCGTCACACATGAAAAATGTTCAAATGTGGGTCACGCTGTGCTCTGGGCTCGGGTAACGCAGCAGAAACCCGTGCGGCTCGAGTCAGAGGGCACGTAGATTCACATAATGAACGCTAATTAAAAGTGTGGTACGAGCAGGAGCTTCCTGAGACGAGCGGCGCTGCAGCTGCTGTCACCATGGAAAATAAACAAGGCTTTTGTTTGGGCTTTGGAGGGCCGCTGAGAGAACCGCCTCCAAACAATCGAGTTCTGCTGAAGGAACTTGCAGGAACATTTATATTGTTTAACGCTTGCCTTCACACATGCTGCTACGTCTGAGTTTCGTAATCATTAACAAGAGCCTAAGCTGGTTTATTGGTCGTAGCACGCTTAGGTTTGGTGGTTTCTGAAGGCTTTTGCACACTTGTCAGATGAAAGCACACCTAAACCAACTTTAAGGCCAGTACACCACCCTGTGCTGGTTTAACTTTTTTAACAGGGTAATTGTGTGTGTGTGGTTAGGTCTGTATATAAATATACTATCAGACATCATCAAATCACATGAAAAGCACCTCTAAATGATTCCTTCAGTCCCATCGGGCACCACATGTCATTTGTGTTTCTTGGTAACGAGGTTCACGTCATCTCTAGTGCACATACTGCATCGATTCAAGCTAAACGAGTGCGTGTGTGTTTGAGTGTGATTCACTAACAGGGCTGATGAGACATCGTCTCGCTTCATAATCACAGCTGTTCCCGAGCCCTCAATGAACGGCAGTTTGTTTAGCCAGACAACCAGAGGATACACACTCCAGACGGCACAAATTCCAGCCTGAATCAATTTAACGCTTGATATAGTCCATGTACACGAGTGCTCACTCACTCATGTGCTGCGTTTCCACGTGTGTGTGTGAGCCGATTCATTAAATATCTATACCATCTATACCATGCTGTAATGTTACTGTGTGCGTTTGATAATATGCTACTGCCAAAAAACTTGTCATCTTTTTTGACCAGTGCATGCAAACTCATCAAGTTAATGCTTTAACTTTCTATGCACTGCCGAGCTTTAATGTTGCTTTTCTTTGGAGTCAAATCTCATGCAGCAGCGAACAGTCATGCATTTTCCATGATATCATTAGAGAAGACTGTAGATTGTCTCAGTGAGAGCGGATGATGGTGGTGTTTTGGACCGGGCCAGTAACTATGACAGCAGACAATGAACTGAACTCATGCAGACATGTTCTCAAACTCTTCTTACCTGATGTGAGGTTTTCCCTCACAGTTCTGCTCATTATATGAGGTGACTTGGTTAATTTACCCCAGAAACGTAACACTATGTCTTATTAGTGGTTAAATGTTTTCTGTTACATTTTTCTACAAATGAAATCATGCAATCATAAACATCTCTCTGCTCCAATGTGCATGTGTATCTCATCAGAACTACCTAAAATAATAATAAATTAGGCTATTGTTAACATTCTCATTTTAATTATTAACAGAAAAAAAAGCAGAAACCCAACATAAAATGTGAGTGGAAAATGGAAAATAAACCAAAAATACAATTGTACATCAATCAGTGAACTTTAATGGTACAGGATCATTTGCTATCTATCAAAAACAGTAAGTGCACTTAACCTCAAAGTGAAGTGAAAAAGCACAAATGCTCGTTATGTGTCGTATTCTCTGCTTTCGTTTTACATATCATGCACATAAACATCTCAGTATTAATCAAACGGAATCAAACCAACAGCAGACACTACAGTTGTACTGGTTAGCCGCTACTGCGGTCAGATCTGAGGGTCTGGAGTGGATCACGGTGCCAGGGGTCGACGGCTGAGGAGATCAGGGGAAGGGTCACTAATCAAACACTAGTCAGTCTGGGTCAGTCACAGATATTACTTACTGTAATTTGTGAGGGTCGCGAGATCGGACTGGATGTGGGCTTTATCACAATGCTGCTTGTGATTTTGTTGTTGCCTTTGGCTGGAGTGCCATTGGTTAACACTGGAATCCTCTGCTCCGGCCCGAGGGAGTAATAGGGGATGGATTTGGCTGTGGTGTTTACGGCTTGAATGTAGGGGCTCCCTAAGTGAATATGGATTTTGTTGTCATCAGTGGTAATGACATTTGGACCTGAGCTGTTGGACCTCTGCAGTTGCCAGCTGTTCTGCCTTTCCGGGCTCACGCGGAAAACCGTATGACCTCCCACAAGCTCTGCCGGCTCCAACCGGTCAGGGCTTCCGGTGGTAACGGACACGATCTGAATGGGTGACATGGCTCGGTCCGGGGTCACCGATCCGCAGGACTCAGAAGCTAGAGTTTGCGAATAGGCTGCCATGGTGAGCGGCGACATGGAGCGATCGGGCGTGCTGGGGCTGCATGGACTGTCCGGAGGAGGAGGAGAACCCTTGGGTTTGTTGGAAGGTGAGATTGGTGAGTTCTGGAGGATCGTGATGCGCTGTTTTGGAGGGGCACCGCTTGTCGGGATGACCGCCGTGCTTGTATAGGACTGGGCGTTCTCTGCGGTGGGACTCGTGATCTCTAGAGTTGCCATGTTGTGCCCGTGGTCAGGAGTTACTTTGATATGGAGGGGTTGTCCAGGACTGTGTGCAAGGAACACGTCTCCCTGTTGAACATGATTACCGTTCTGTCTCGGTTGCATCTTGCTATTTATTGGATGCTGACTTTCTCGAGTCTTAAGAAAAGGGCCTCTCACTCTTCTCATGTTGTTATTGATATTGTTGACATTGTTCATGAGTGATGGACTGCATTTTGTAAGGTTGATCTCATTGTAATTAACCTCGTCCTCTGGATCGCTCTCCACGTATAGCTTGCCGTTGACCAGGGCGCGTTCCAGGGGTACAAGGTTCTTGTAATTTGGGGACAGGCTGTCTGTTGGGTCCGTCTGCACCTCCTTTGTGGAGACTTGGAGATCTGAGAAACGTCTTCCGTTCATGCCCGGCCTTAGACTCTTACTGAAGCGGCGGTATCTCTCGAGTTCTCGTGTAAGGGTCTCCATCTCTCTGGCCAGCTCTTTGTTCCTGACCTCTTGCTGGGTGAGTTTTCTCTGTAGGGTCGTGTGGTCTGTTTTCAAGCGGCAGATGGATTCCTCTGTGCCCATGTACTCGTGGATCTTCTCTTTGAGGGCTTCGACCTCTCTAGTGAGATGGCTGGATTTGGCCTCTTCCTCTTTCAGACGCTTGTAGAGGATATGCTCTTGGTTGGATTCCTCTTTCTCAGCCAACTGGTACTTGGACAGTTCCTGCCTGGACATCTCCAGCTCCTCCATCAGGACTTTTGCTTGTTCCTGTTCATTGGAATATCTCTTTTCCAGGGATTCAAACTCGTCTTCAGTCTTCAAAAGATCACCCTCAACTGCCTTCATCTCCTTTAACTTCCTCCTGAGGCGTTCTACTTCTTGGGTCAAATCTTTCACTTTGTTGTCTTCTTGTTGGTAGTGGTAAGGAACTGGGCTCTTTGTGTGCTCCTCTTTGGCCTTGTTCCTCAATAACTCTCGTTCCACTGCTTCCAGTGACTGAAGCCGCTTTTTCATCATGCTGACCTTGGACTGAAGGTCACTGTTTTTCTCTTCCTCTGCTTTCAGCTTAGCTTTGAGCTCGTCCCTCTCCCTAGCGGCAATACACATCTTCTCCTCCAATTCGGCCTTTGACCGCAGAGCTCTCTTGCTCTCTTCGATCAGTTTTTCAGTGACAGTGTTGACTTTGTCTTGTTCTGCCTGCAGTTTGCCAGTGCTGTTTTGCACTTTGTCCTCCATCAGCTTTAACTTTTCGGCCATAGCTTTTCTCTCATCCACCAGCATGACAGTCAGTGTTTTCAGTTTTGTCAGATCCTCTTTCAGTGCCAGCTCCGTCTTCTCCAAATGAACCTCGGTAGCTTCAAGCTCTTTGATTCTGACTCTCAGCACATCTAGTTCATTGGACATGTGTTTAGTCATGGTCCGCTCTTTCTCTAGGTTGCTTTTCAGTGAATTGCACTCCTGCTTACTCTTCCCAAAGGCGTCTTCTAGCTTTTCAAGTTCCATGATTCTGTGATTCAGCTTGTCCACCTCTGCTTTTAAGCTACAGCTCTGGCTTGACTCCTTCTCCAGCTTTCTGTTGAGGTCCCTGCACATGTCTTCCATCTTGATCAGCTCCTCATCCTTCCCCTCCATTTCGAGCACTCGTTTCCTCAACTCCTCCACCTCCGACACTAGGCTGGAGTTGCCACACTCCCCTCGGCTGATTTTATCACGTAGCTCCTGCAGTTCTTCCTCCACTCTGTGCAGGGTCTTGTTGGTTTCTTCCAGCTCATCTAACTGCCGGCTGAGTGAGGAGAGCTTCTGCCGCAGCTGTCTGTTCTGGGCATCTTCATTGGTCAGTTTGGCAGTCATGGCTTCCTGCTCTTGGTGGAAATGGCAGGCCTGGTTGCGTAACTCCTCCTCCAAGCGAAGGACTTTGTTCTCCTCTTCTTGCAACCGGATTTGGGCGGAGCTCAGCTCCTCTTGGGCCTGAGTGGCAGTATTCTGGAGTTCCTGGACCTTCGTAGTTTGTTGGGTCAGCTGCTCGGCGAGCCGCTGTTGTTCATCGACCACTAGCAGGGCGAAGGACTTAAGCTTGGTCAGCTCGTCCTTCAGATTTGTGACTTTCTTATTGTTCTCTTCCTCCTTTCTCTCCTGGTATGTCTTTTCCTGATCAATGAGCAGTTTCAGTCTGGGAAGAGAGAAGAACATATGGAAAGACTGTTAATTTGAGACCTGGGAATTTTCAAAACATGACATTTTTTGTAATTATTTTGCACAGACCTCAATTTTGCATAGATTTTTAGAAACATTTGGGCTTAAAGTGAAAGTTAACTAAACTGGTATTCAACTGGGAACCTTCATGTCAATGTTTGTCCATGCCATATGAGGAAATATGGAGGAAATTAAAACCCGTTGACTAAAAGTGGGGCAGTGTGTGTTCCAGAGGTACAAAGTCGGGCAGAAAGTGGGGTCATGTTAGCTGGTGCGAGTTTCCCTTCTCCCAAATGCCGCCAGCGGTGGAGGGTGTTTTGACTACAGGACGCAGCTGCCAACCTGCACTACAGAAGGCATATTAGAGTGGAAATGGAAAAAGTCTCTTAATAAGAGGGTTCCTCTATCTCTCCCCCCACACCCATGAACACCACCACCTTCCTTCAGTGGTTTTATATTTTAAGGAATTCCCCCTCCTCCATAGGCCATTACTGGCTATGTAAACAAAACCTCTTTCAGAGGCTTCTAACCAGCAGTGGACAAGGATGATGTCAGCGGTACGAGGCGTATGAAACCACCTCATCCAGAAGTGTGTCTACATGCTTCCATGTGTGTGACACTCATACGTGGCTTCAGCCATTGAAAGGTAATGGAAAATAAGGTTAAGAAAAAAATATTTAAAAATTCAGAAGATGAAAATAACAGAAGAGAGATTCTAAAAATACAGTATTATAATCGCAGTGCAGTGTCCTACTGAACATGAACCAAAGCTCCAGTGTGTTTGATGAGATTACAGCACTGGCTTACAGACTGAACATTCATAAAGCGTTCAGCCGGCCATCCTCTGGAAATATCTGTGGTGTTCCTCTTGCATTGTGACTTCATTAAGCATTTGTGGTTCACCATTAACAGAGGAAAATGAAAGCCAAAAGTTGAAGTGTGTAAAACTGAAACGCTATTGTGCTAATTGCTCACAAATGCTGTAGTGAGCTTATTATCTGCCATCACAAGGCCAAAATCATACTCCCAAACCCTTGTTTTGTTTTTTTTTAGCAATCTGAACAACCTCATAAGCTCCAACCTGATGCTACATTTCTTTGTAATTCAACGGCATAATAGGTTTATGCAATCACTGCATCACATTTTACATATTAACTGTCCTAAACAGTATGCAAGATAGAGCCAGCGTGTTCTAAAATATAGCGCACTGAAAACAGTATGCTAAACGTCCCTGGATACTATACTATTTCCAGTATGCATGTGTGCTGAAAGTGAAGTAATGAATTTAGCTAGATGCGAACACAAACAGTTCAAGACAATGGTATCAATCAAGATGAAATGTTATGGTGTGGTAGTAAGTCCTAATGCTGCCGTACTGTACTTTCCCACCACTGAAGTACATACTTTTCCTGTAGTAGAAATATGTTAAATGAGACACAACCTATGATTCCCAGCAGCCCCCCGGGTGGAAATGACACGTCTTCTGTCATCATGTAAACACATTTGCTCTGGGACTCTCATTTATTCAATCCTCTAACCACAGATTCTGGATTAAACAGTGTACAGACAACTATGTGATCGATATGAAGACATGGCGCTGATGAGAAAACAACGAAAGCAAAAGGGATCCTTAGCACATCAGCATGCAGCAGCGTGAGCGTACGACGGCCTAAAAGCAGCTCAGGAAATCAGGAGGCGTCCATTAAAGAGAAACGCTCCTTCCCCGTTTTAACCTTGGACCGCCCGATCGACTTGGACTCGCTCCCAAGAGCCCAGATTTTTTACAGAGAAAAGTGAGGAAAAATCTATGCCATGGAAAAAAGTCTTGGAAAAGCCTGCGAGAAGGATTTAAACGTCAGTAATAAGGGTGTGTGAAATCTCAAGATGATGAGAGAACATGCAAAAAAACTCGACTAGATTTCGGTTTTGAACATTATGAACGTTTTGTGTGTCATGACATTTGTGCATTTCTGTGATATATGTGAAAATGCATAAAAACGGATGCCACTGAGCTCTCACCGAACAGAAGAGCGGATCTGCTCTTGCGGGGTTTATTACGAGTCATAATGCTCAAAAACAGCAAACTAAACATGCATTAAAGGACTAAGCAGTTTACAAAAACACTTAAAAAGTGTCCACAACTAGAACGCGTCAGTGACAAATTAAACAGGACAGATTCCCGTCATCTAAACATCAGACAGTTTAGTGAAGTGAAGTTCAGAAATGACTTTTCTAGCAACAGCAGATACTTGCACTGGAGAGTAACTGTACTGGAGATAATAACTGTATGAAAGCCAACTTAATAACAGGACTGACTTTAATGACAATACGTAACTGGAACACATTCATCTAACAATTATAACCTCGTCCTTTTCCAAAATCTGCTCATTTTATTCATTTACTATTAACTAGCATGAAATTAAGACCAAACATCTACATCATCTGCAGGATGGAGGAACATGCAGTGATTCTGCCAACATGTGAACACTATTATTACTTTATAAAGACATGAAACAATGGATTGAACGATCATCATCATCCCAGCAGAACACTCACTCAGCGCTGCTCATTTCTACTGACTTTGAAGTTTAAACAACATCAGATTTGATGCAATGCAAGTCTTACCACTAGAACTCAATCCACAAGCTCATTTAAAGTTAAATCATCTCATATATAATGTGATATCAAAGACCATCTACATGCAGTCAGAGGTTCTGCATGTGTGTGTGTGTTTGTGTGTGTGTGTGTGTCGTACCTGGTCAGTGCTGTTGAGCCGCTGCCGCTGGTGTTCAGTGTGTCAGTGATCTGAACATTCCAGCTCTGAAACTCAACAATGAGACGGACTGAAGACGCCTATGAGAGCATGACATCATCAGCACGCCCTTATATGGAGCCTTTCACAGCCATGAGCTCATGCATGTGTGTGTGTGTGTGTGTGTGTGTGTGTGTGTTACAGGACAGAGTGTGTGATTAATGTGTTAAATATCTGTAGTCTGTATGTCAGTGCTCTGGAAGGCAGCGTGTGTGTGTGTGTGTGTGTGAGATGAGAAACTTTTTTTGGGATTACAACATTTCTTTCTGGTTTTCCTCACTTGAAGTCATTAATTCACCCAAAGGGAGAAAAATGTACTAACATTTATAAAACACAGAGAAACATCCGTGCATGTGTGTGTGTGTGTGTGTGTGTGTGAGAGAAACAGAGATCAAATGTAGCCAAACTGTTCAGTTAATTAGTTGTTACATAAGTTTTGTTTCATAATTATTTACTATCTTGCTAACACTTTAAAGTAAAGTTTCATTAGTTAACTAGTTAACGCAATCAATGAAAAATACTTCTGCAGTTAACGTTAATTTCAACACTTACTAATGCATTTTTAAGATCAAATGTATCTGTTAAGTTTAGTTAATGCACTGTGAACTAATAGGAACATGATTTTAACATAATTTTTATAAACATTATCAAAGGTTTATAAATAATGAAAAAATACATTGTTCATTGTTAGCATGTTAATTAAGGCATTAATGTTAACAAATGAGACCTTACTGTAAAGTGTTACTTTTAATAGATAGATAAAACAATAGATAGAACTGAATATATTCTATATTGTTTAAATCCTATTTCCGCTGGTCAGTTGATCTGAAGTGTTTTCCACAAGTGCAAATGTTAACACTATTAGAAAGAAATAAAAGAGTGTCATGATTGAGTTTCTTTAAATCATCAATTAATTCATGAACTTTAAACCTTCTGTCTGTCACGAGTCAACTGAATCTTTCTGAATCTGAATCCAGACATGAGGTGAATCTCAGAAGAACATGAGCGGCTCATATTTCACAGGAAGTGACCTCACAAACCATGTTTACGTTGTAATACCCATGTCATTATACACATTTGTGTCCTCATAAACCATATCTTCAAGAACACACACACACACACACACACTGGTATTCTTATCATTATGGGTTCATTCCATAGGTGTAATGGTTTTTCTACTGTACAAACTATTTTCTCTCTCTTACCCTAACCCTACACCTAAACCTACCCCTCACACTAAACTACAGGCATTTTTAGATTCTCAAAACACTTCATTCTGTGTGATTTATAAGCTTGTTTCCTCACGAGGACCTTGTGGGGACATTTGGTCCCTATAATGCAGGGAATACCAGTACACACACGCACACTTATCAATTTGGTTACATTTGATCCATGTCTCACACTTACACACATGCACTCAGTCTCGCAAACACTCTCTTGCACACTCACAAATTCGCACTCTCTTACACACTTATGCACTCGTACACTTGCGCGCTCACATTCTCTTGCACACTCACACTCTCTCACACACCTAAAAACTACCACAATCACACACTTACACACTCGCACACTCTGACTCCCGTGCACACTTAAGCACTCACACTCTTTTACACACTCACTCACTCACACACTTGAACTCTCACGCACACTTATGCATGCACACTCTCTTACACACTCTCTCGCACACTTACACTGACTTTCTCGCACACTCGGACTCTCTCGCACACTTATGCATGCACACTCTCTTACACACTCGGACTCTCTCGCACACTCACTCTCTCACACACTTGGACTCGCTCGCACACTTAAGCACTCACACTCTTATACACACTCACTCTCTCGCACACTCGGACTCTCGCGCACACTTACACTCGCACACTTGGACTCTCTCGCACACTTATGCACGTACACTCTCTCACACACTTGGACTCTCTCACACACTTAAGCACTCACACTCTTATACACACTCACTCTCTCACACACACTTACACACTCACACACACTTGGACGCTCTCTCTCACACACACACACACACACACACTCTGACTCTCGCGCACACTTATGCATGCACACTTTCTTACACACTCTCTCGCACACTCACACACTCAGACTCTCTCACACACTTAAGCACTCACACTCTTTTACACACACTCACTCTCTCACAC